GTGTAAGGGATGTCATGGGGGGGTGTTGTGGGGGTGGGGGGTGTACAGGGAGTATATATAGTGTGTGTGTAGCAAGTGTGTGGATAGTGTTCATGTGTGTATAGTGCATGTCTATTGTGTGTGTGTCTGTATATATGTATTTCATAGATTTCATAGACATGAAGGCTGGAAGGGACATGGGAATATCACATAATATAGTGTGTGTGTAATATATAATGTGTAGTATGTATAGTGTCTGTGTATATAGTTTGTGTGTGTGTGTGTGTGTATAGAGAGAGAGAAAGAGAGAGATTTAGAGGTGTGTGTGTGTGTGTGTGTGTGTGTGTGTATGTATATGTATATATGAGAGAGAGAGATCTCTATATACCTATATCTATCATTATCCTGCTCTGATATTAAGGTTATGTTTCTGGAGAGAAGAAAACTGAAATATAGAACAGAAGCTTCAAAGAAGTCAAATGTATGCAAAATTAAGTAAATAGAATTCCTGAAAACAGCTTGAGGATGACTTGAAAAACACTAAATATGTCCTTTTTCATCAAAGTGTCAATTACAATAGTTCTTTTTATGGCATTGTACCTGCATGCAGCATGAGAAACAAGTTTCCTTATGCTCTTAAGAGAGAGCAACTTTTTTTCAGGGCCTTATCGGAAGATACTTAAAGCATATAGGAGTACTGGCAGGGAAATGTGCACAATTATTTTATTTTACCTCTTCCCCTTATAAAAGTGTTCATGGCTGTTTAGTTGCAAGTGAGACAGTAAGGTGGTCTGTTGAGCTGCTTCTTTCCTTCTTGTTGCCTGAGCTTGGGTTTAAGCAAACAGCATTATGACAGCTTTGTAGTTGTTAAGGGTGATATGATCAAGAGCAAGAAAGAAGGCAGAACCCCCCCCCCCCCCGAAAGTCTTCCCCCAATTTTTTAAAAGGGAAGAGAAAAATAGTAGAAGATATAAGAGTTGAGATGTGGTATAGGTTGAGCCACCCCAGTTCCCAAGATTGGAACATCTGTATCTCATGTACATAAATTAAAATAACTTTCCAGTCTAGGCTTTTTTTGTGGGGGATAGGAGGGGAAAGTTGCTAAAAATTGCATTGTATAAATACAGTTGTCTATTTTATTATCTACAGATGCTGGCATATATTTCCCAGAAGCTGTAATTTTGAGGCCTGATGACTTGTACAGGGCAGCTGCAAGGTGCAAAGTGGCGTCTAATAAGTTTTTGCAGGTTGTGCAAAAAGAAGATTTTGTCATTCAAGAGTATCAGAAAAAGGCACAGTAAGTGATACTTGGCAATAGGTTTTGTCTAACTGAACATCTCGATAATACTATCCTATCCATGGCATACCTCAGCCTCTTCCTGCTTTGGAAAGATTCCTGGTTTTGCTTCTACCATGAATGGCATTTTTCAGAAACTTTCACTACTGTATCTTCTCCATTTCAGCAGAGTGGAAGAAGAGCCTGCTGAGGTCTGAGGGTTTTATGGATTTCTTTCCATACTTCTCAGTGCTTCTCAATAGGGCTGTGCAAAGCTCCAGTCCCTGATTCGATTTGGCGGAGATTTGGCTCAATTCATTGGATGAATCTCTGAATCCAAATCGAATCAGAGGACCCTTTAATCTCTCTGAATTGAACTGGAACCCTCTGAATTGTTTTGGACATGGGCAGCTTTAAATGTTTTTTCTACATACCTCTAGGTAGCAGGTGGCTCGTGAATGCTGTGATGCTGGGATACATGGAGTGTCCCACAGAAGCACGGGGGACTCCCCACTGTGCTCGGCAGCAGACCCAGAAGTGTACTAGAAGCGCTTCCAGTCCACTTCTGGGTCTGCCAGAGCGTGTGCTGGGGGGCCCCTTCACAGCCCTCCCGGCTCAGTGGCTGGTGCTTCCTGGATCTGGGGGGGCACCCAGGGTCCTCCTGTGGCTGATCGCTGAGCCAGTCCACTTCCAGGTTTGCTGCTGAACATGTGGAGGGCCCCCCTGCACTCTTGTGGGGACTCTTCATGCGCCCTAGCATCACAGTGATCGCAAGCTGCGCCTACTATCTCAAGGTATGTAGAAAAAACTTTTAAAGCTGTGTCTATATTCGAATCACTGATTCTTCAAATCGGCATCAAATCTTTAGATTTGGATTTGGCCGAATCAAATCGGGGACAGTGATCCGAATCAATGAATCAAATCCCTGTCCCTGATTCAGGCTGAATTTGAATCAAATAGGGCCTGCTTCGCGCACCTCTGCTTCTCAATCTTTTTAGACCCAAGGCAGCCCTTGGAAAATGCCAAGTCATGGTTTTTAGTCATTTTTGGCTATGGAAAAATAAGAGTAATTAGGTCAGAATGTTTTTGACACTAGGTTCCTGTGTGAAAACTCTGGATTTGTCATGAATCATGTTTTCAGCCTGTAGCACTCTTGAAAGGATCTAAAGGCACCCCAATCTAGGGTGGGTTTTTTTTCCTTGCTAAAAATTGTATAAATTGAACTGACTCTCTTATTATCTGCCATAGCACCCTGGTTGGGAATCACTAATCTAAATACAAGAGCTCTGACTTGTAGTGGCTGTTACTAAAGATTAGTACATCTTATAGTTGAGGTAACTGTGTATATAAATAGAAATTGAACCCTTTTCAAGATTTAGACAATTGCTGAGAAATAACAGGTCTAGTAATTGCAATAGAATTTCTGTGGCTGCTAAAAACTTTTAGTTCAGTGTAACAGATGACCGTTTCTTTCAGGTCTTCTGTATTACTTTTCCTTCAAAAAGTCACTGCACAGGACAGCAGCAGATTGTGCGTGTGTTTTGCATTTTTTTATGTTATCATCATTATAAGCTGGTGATATGTGATCAAAACGACGGATCTTAAATTTCCTGTAGTAATTTTTTGCATGTTCGGTTTCTACAGATTATTAACTAAACAGATAAAAGATCTAAGATCTGAATGTGCTGATCTGCACAAGCAGCTTCAAAAGTAAGTGTACTCTTCTATGTGTAAATTGATATATCATTACTAAAACAACTTTTGTTCCATTTTAAAGGCTTAAAGCCAGAAATTTTGTATACCTTAAGTATATTTTTGTCATGGCTAACTTGATATTTGTTTTAAATAGAATAGAGAAAAATGACCAAAACCAAAGTAACAGAGCAGAGAAAGTTCAAAAGGTGAGTATTTTCTTTTTGATGGCAGTGCCTGAATTTCTTAATACTCTCCACTGTATCTCATACTAGTTTCTGGTACTATTCTCTCCTTTTAAACATGTTAACATTTCTTTCATAACCCTATGGGCTTCTGACACTCTCAGCAAGATTTGATGCACAGCATATTTCTTCTCCTATTAAGGTTTGCTCCATGTGGACAACTGTAACAGAAACCTTTGCTGGCTTGGAAAAGGAGAGAGAAGTTGTGGATTCTGTTGTTAAAGGTCACTTTGACCAGTATACTTTAGATGGAACAGACATCACTATCAGTGTTCCAAGGCTGCTGCTTGACAATATTGAAAATGAAATGTACAGAGTAAGTGGTAGTTTGAATAGCAAGTGCTTGTTCGTTTTTGGGGTTTTTTTGTATTTGTAGAACGTGGACTATCATACAGAAGAGTGTGGTTGGCCCTGCAATAAATGCAATAGAAATAGAGAATAGTGGATTACTTGCCCAAACTAAAGTAGTACACTGATCATGCCTCTAAGGAAATGCCTTATATAGGGCCACGTTGTACAACAAACAGGATAAGCAATATAAGGATCTGAATTTAATATTTCTGCATCTGTTATGGTGATAAGCAACGCCTTGTTGCTCACATTCCCTGCATGCATACACAGCTTAAATTTTCTCTTAAATTTTCCAGTTATTGCTGTTCAGAGTCTTACACTTTGGGGGATGAAAGGTTGGCTTGACAGAAAGCATGAGAAGAATTTTTAAGACAGAGAAACCAGACAAGATAGTTTTGCATTTTCATAGTTTCATAGTTTCTAGGGTCGGAAGG